GCTGTGTGCTGTGCAGACCCCTGTAGAGTGAATAAAAATTAATGATCATCTTACATATTCATTTCTTAGCTTACCACGTATTTAGATAAGTGGTGCTCTACAATTCTGGTTGATGGGATTTCAAAAAGGAGTTTGACTTGTCTGCACTGGCGTTTTTCACTCCTCCAATATTCCTGAAGCTCCTTAGTGGTCATTGAAGAGTTGGGACTTAGGGATGCACTGGAATCTGAGAAAAAAATATGTAGTATTTCAGATTGTAATCTTTACATTTGGAAAGGTAACTCTTACGCATTTATTGTGAAAGGACACCCAAGAATTTCTGTTGCTGTAACAGGAAGACCTAAAGACTAATAAAATAAGGAATAGCAATGCTAATAAAGGGAGGTGCAGATTCTTTGAGAAAAGCTATTGTGGTCTGAAATCTGTGGCCAAATCGGCCACAGAATACAAAGTTATAGAAATAAATACTGACAAGAAGTATTGTATGTCTAGGCTGTAACTTCAGGCACAGTTTGACAGGAGGTATGCTTCACCAACCCAAAAGTAGCTCTGAGAAATGTGGACTCAGTCTTCTGAAGCAGAAGCTGCTTTGTTGCTAAAACGAGGAGATAGTACAATGCAGCTCCAAATTCAGGCATATATTCAAATATTGACCTTATTCAAATATTGGGTTTGTGCAGTAACAGGTGAAAGCTGAGAAAACATGAATATACTAACCTTAAAGGAGAAACTCAGATAACCAGCTCAGCTGAAGGAGGAATTCTCACATCCTCTTTTTCTTTTGTAGCTGAACTTAAGCCACAGTTCAGCTACAAATATTTTATATACCTGCCTCCCTTCCTCTCTCTCTTCCCCTACACCCACACCAACATATATACATATGCATATATAAAAATGTAGGACAGCTGCTTGAAGAGTTTGCTTACAGGGGAATTTGATGCAGCTTTTCAAAAGCGGGATTTCTGTCTTTGAAATCTACTGACAACAGTTTTCATCAGGTGGCATATAGGCTAGAAAAGTGGATAAAAGAAATGGAGTATTTGTATTTCAGTGGGCACACCAGTCCCAGTTTCCAATCAATAATGTCTCTGTCAATGCAGTCAGCTGAAGTCAGTCTGTAATGTATCTAACATTCAGACAGTGGAGGTGAATGACCCCAAATGAATGGGAAGATAACAGCTTGATGCAGAAATAGAATTGTAAAAGTACTCCTTCAGTGGCCCCACTTTTACATGTTCTTAATCATTTGGCCATACAGTTTCAATTATCAAGGCTTTTGGGGTTTGGCTCAATCTCCACAAAGCATATATTTCCTAAGAGGGGTGGTGTTTATGACATCTTTGCAGGCTGAAAATCTTGATGAGATTATATATATTTTGGATTATATATAACATTTTATTTAATAACAGATGACAGCAATCTTAGGCGTAGTAAAAGTTCAGTGTTGCCTCTTCATAAGGCATGTGAGAGACTACTGCTGGAGATCAGCTTCAGTCTTGGTGTCCTTGCGGATACTGCCAAGAAGTTCAGATTTTGTGATGTACAGAAAAAGCACTCCCGAGACAGGCCATCTGATGATCACTGTTTTGGTCCCTGGTGTGCCTAAAATGTATTCCAGATTTAATTTACACAAGGGATTTAAAAGGAGAAGTCTGTGTGTGCAAATACATACAAGGATGTGTATCTGTTTCACTATTGCTACGTTATTATTACGAGTTTAATCAAGGCTTATTTCCAGTGGAGTATAGCAGTGTAAATCTGGACCGCTGCTGCAATAAATAAAGCAAAGTTTGCTATATAAAAGATAAATGGCATAAATAGCTACATGAAAAATAAAATTAAAGGATAGCATCTACCTTGCAGGTCATCTTTTTCTGGGTTTTCCTTTCTCTCTTGATGTGAAATTTCAGCTTTGGGTTGATTTTGTTCTTCATCAGAAGGGCTTGTAGAAAATGTAGTAATCCTGCTTACAGCTTCCAACAGTTCCCTTTCTGCTGTGCGGTGCGCGTCTTGGTCCATTGCAAGCTATCACTGAAAGATTACAAAAAATAGGACATTTCTTAGTAGTGTGCCTCTAAAGCATCCAGTCTGGTAATCTTTTTTATTGACTTATTCATTGTTCTCTGTGAACTTGTACGAGGGCAACTGCAGTTTTATAAAAAAATAAAGTAATAAACAGAACTATCTACATAGCTATCAGTCCTATTACCATTGCCACTGAAAGTGTTTGGAGATCTTTTTGGCAGATTAAAATCAAAGATGAAAACTGTAATAAGTTATGCTGCATAAGATTAGGTGGGGAACTCCATTATGAGAATTCTGTCATAAACTTCAGTGGGGGCAGATTTTTTTCTCCTTGTATTTTGCCCTCAAGCTTGCAAGTAAGAGTTCCAATAAACTAGAATCTTGGAGATAATTACTATAACTAGCAGCTTGGCTCTCTTATACTGCTAGAATTTACTGTTCTTAAGACTCCAAAACTTGCCATCTGTTTTTAATCGCAACCTGTAGGGCAAAATAGGGCTGATATCTAGAATAGTACAATACTTTTGGCATATTTCACAGTTTGAAATTCTCCCCAGAGACTTGTTTCTGTACTGTGAGAACAAAACAACTGAATCTGACAATGGCTAGGTGGGAGGAAAACCGAGATTTCTAATTATTATAGAGAAGAATTCTCCTTTTACTTGTCTTTTTAACCTATATGTTATGCTTGTAGTAGATCTGTTCTGCCAGGACTATTATTTTACCACATACTGATAAAATGCCCAACACAATATACTCCTGCTCCATAGACCAAAAAGGCCATTCTGCTGCACAAATGTCTCCCCAGGATGTTTGTTTTTTTTAAAAAAAAACACCCTACCCATTAAACCATTGTGTTATAGTAGCAGTTGAAAAAGTTCTAAGAGCTTCCTAACAACTTTGCCAGGGCGCTGTGTTCTGTCAGTTATCATGAGAGGTGTTGCTTACAATCCAGCCAACAGATGAAAATCACAAAATGGAACGAGCTACTTTTAAAAAAACTAAGTCTCCCTGCTACAAATGTAAAAACAAGGCCCAAGCAGTGGTTCTTAAGTAATGAGAGGGTTTAGGAACAGGGATGTTACTACATATCCTTTCGCCTCCCCTCCTCTACCAGGCAGTTACGCAATGCAGAGGTGAGGAAACTTCTTCAGCAGACCTGGTGATTTCTGGCAAACTGCAAGGCTATAAAAAGAAAAGCAATTACTTTCCCCACTGGAAATAATGGAAGTGCAAACTAGTTTTCTCTAACAGAAACCCCTCCTTTGCCTGGCTTGGTTGAGCAAGTACACACATGTTGTCATCCCCCTTTGTAAGAGCATCAGGGAAGCCCTTATTTTTGGACGTCGGACTAGGAGGTGAACGTTCTCACTGTTCTAGTCCTCCTTAAGTTGTGAGTTGGTATAACCTTATAAACAACCATGTATTTATATTCCAGACATATATCTTTTTATATATAACTTTATATACGTAAAATATGCATATATGTGTGTGTATATATATAAAAATACTACTTTAAAACATGACTTACCAGAGAACCACAACACACTTGTAAACAGAAGAATGCAGAAGTGAACATTATGATACGCAAGTCTTCTGCCTTGAAAGCTTCATCTAAAATCTCATTTTCCCAGCTTGAAAATCATTGTAAGCTCTTTTAATTAAGCTACGATTTATTTTTTTTTTACATATTAAAAAAAATCCAAAACAATACAAAACCGCTGCAACAAATTACACAACTTTACTTCGAACAGACACCCATCCTGTTCCGTTTCAGGGTAAATGCCACTCCAACTGCTTCCCTGAGCTACAAGTGCCACTAGAAACCGAAGTGCCCAGAACACTCACCTGCAGGCTCCTGAAGGGCTTTTAGTTGTGGTGCACGTGTAGCCTGGCCGAAGTCACGAAAAGCCTGCTTCGCATTTTCAAAACGCAGAGAAAGATGTCTGTGTTCTCTCCCGACAGGCACATTCTGTGTTTTACAAAAAGGAAGGAAGAAGCCTTGATTAAATCAGACTTCCTCGTCCAATTGGCTCACTGGTGCGGTGCTGACTGATTACGCATGAAGTTTCCTATCTGCCTGCCCCAGCCCTCGCGCTCGCTGCGGGCCAGGCACGGCCGGCGTCCGCCGAGCGGCTCCGCAAACCCCAGCCTCAGCACTGCACCTGCAAACACAAAGTCTGGCAGAGGAGAGGGTCCGACAGTAAATACAATTACAAAATCAATGTAAACTTCCCTGCGTGGATTTCTGAAACCGAAATAAAAGCCCCACACTTAGCCAAAGAGAGATTAGGAAAAAAAAGAGCCAAATATGTAAATGTACTTATGTGGATTACTGAAACTGAAATAAAAGCCCCACGCTTAGCCAAAGAGAGATTAGGAAAAAAAGAGCCAAATATGTAAATGTACTTATGTGGAAAAATACACCCTTTGGGACAGCTTTAAAATACAGACTTACCATCCAGTTCAGAAAAGAAAATGCAGATGGTACCCCAATAAATAGCCTCACTCTATGTAAACTTGCACTTCTGACAGAAATCCCAATTCTGCACAGTGCTTAAACATATGATTAATTTCAAATATCTGCTTAATTAAAGTTCGAAAAGGAGCATTATCATATCTGACGTGACTACTAGAGTTGAAATGGGCTTGTGTGTGTGCCTAAAATTAATCCCGTGCTTAAACACTTTGTCCTCAGTTCAACAAAGAAAAGAAGAACGATGCATTAATCCACATGTCCTTTGGCCCTGATGCTTCCCTTTTCAGTTCACTTCACTTTGGAAATTTGCTTTAAAGCATCGGGATAGCTGTTTCTGGGGTGAATAATATGGATGCTATCTTTTTTTAGTAATGTGAGTTTCCCCATTGCCAAAGCTCACTCGCTGAAAAACCAAGCGATTTTAATGCAGCACAAATGTGGGAGGCAAACATCCAAAGGACCACATGGATCCTGCCCCACACATTCCTTCAGAACAAACAATTTAGAATAATGTAAAACCAGGGCCATAAACTGGCAACGCTTCTCTGCTGCTTTCTTTGCAACATAAAACAATGCCAACTTTAACTTGGACTCAGTCTAAATGTGGAAGTTTTGCCAAAATAGCTGTCAGAATGATGAAAAATCACTCCCATGCAGCTACAGCCATCCTGGCAAAAGCCCTAGTGTAAATGCCATTATATTGGCAGAGTCCTTTAGCCAGTTTAGCATGTTCCATGCGGAAAGCGATTTAAGTTACACCAGAAAAGAAATCTGTGCTTGCCAATACAGCTCTAAGGTGTAGCTATACCAGCCAACCCTTTTAAGTGTAGACAAGGCATGGGTTTCTGGCTCAAGTCTCGTTCCTTTAAAGTTAGATTTATGGGTTTGGTTACAATTGTGAGCAAAAACCAAGGGGGATTTCAGTGCTTTTCACTCACGCTGACAACTCACAGATGTATCTAAGCTTTGAATTCTGAATCTGTTAATTTATGTGTTGCCAAAAGTTTGTGATGCTTAGTGCTATTGTCCTGCTCTTGATAAAGCTAAAAGAAAAGAGGAGAGTACATTTTTCAGTATATTAAGTATTACCTCTATTTTCAATTATTTCAGAATAAGTAGGTCCTAATCAAATTAACCTGGATGATAAAAAAAAAATTGAAATCTGTTGTTATGTGCATGGCTGACTGATATGAAATAATTTATAAATCAGGGGTGTTCTGCAAGAACTCTGCCTGCCTCAGTAGAGCCAGTGATGACGGTCACAGCTGGTTCCTGAAGGGGTTCCCCATGCTCAGGAGCTGTGACACCCCCAGCAGGTTTAGCAGGCTGTTCCTCATCCTCCTCCCACGAGCTCGGGTTTGGTCCAGACAGCCCCTGGCCCTTCCCTGGGACCCAGCGTTGTTAGTCTGGCAGCATTTCACTTTCCTAAATGTCTACTTGATGAGCACACTCCAAAAAAGTCTGGAGTATACGGTGGTGTTTGCTAGCAGAATGCATAACTAGTATTTTTCTTTTTACATTCTCTGCTCCGCTTCCAACAGTCAAATACTGTGTAAAGGGTTACACAGTGGAAAAAGGGAATTTTCCCAATGGCAGCATACTTTTCTGAGAGATCGGCAAGTGCACTTACACCATTGATTGATCTGACTATTTGTAAAACTGGCAGATTTTAGTGGAAAAGCATATTTTGTCACAGTGGTGGAAAAAGGGATCCTCGTGCACTGGCTTCCCCCGAGTTTGCATTCTGTGAAAGCGCTGACTTTGTCTGGCACACATAAAGAGCACACTGTTAAAATGCATCTACCCAGGGACATGGAGAAAAGAGTGCTCTGCAACAACTGAGGAGCAAGGCAAGGTTAAAATCAGAACACCGCAGTGCATAGAAGTGGTTGTCATAGCAGTTAAGTCCCCTGTACCAACTTAAGATGAAAGGACTCATTTTAGGAAGACTAACCTGGAAGTTTGTCTAAAACTTGGTAACCAAGATGCGCCAGCCTTGCAATGCCGCGTTAAGGATGCCTGTCTGGAAAGACTCTGTTTGGGCTTTTGATAGTTAAAGGACCAGAAGGGACTGCTGCAATAGTGCAAAACCTTGCTTTATCCCCTGATTTGGGCAGTTCACATTCTCCCAATCAGACAGATTACATAAACCCAGACAGACACAGTGTTTAACCATGGAATACAAAGCTGGTATCAGCTTGAAAAATTGCGAGATAAACCGATGTTATATAGAAACTGTAGTTTGCTGCCAGATTTTATTGGCATTTTATTATAGGCACAGCAAGGTCTTATTCTTGTTCAAGAATGTGGGCTGTAATATCCCTATTACAAAATACTCCTCAGCTTCTGCCCTAAGAAATACAGTTTTAGGCAACCTCATAGAGTCTGTGCAGCTTTTCCCTCTCAGGCCCCAAACTATGTAACTAAACCTTATTTATTTTACCAAATCATTCATTAGAACTGTAGATAATGAGAAAAAACAAGAGGAGGCAGAAATACCTAATGTATTTATCCAAGTCCCCTTTTATCACATAACTAATATTTAGAAAGTGCTGTAATGTTGTCTTTGATGCTTCTACAAGAACCTTTGCTCTCTTTTTGTAATGCAGCTGGATAAATACCTACCATTTCCATGTTTGAAGTAGCAGAAAAATCCAGCTGTTCTGCGTGAATATTCTGCACTTTTGGGGTGCTGCTGTGATAAATGAATACCATACCCCCATCCTGGCACAGCACTAAATTCTCTTCTATGCTATTTATACAACGTTTAATGGCATAGTGTTGTGTCATTTGAAAGTGGAATTTGTTTATCCTACTTTGTTTTTACAAAACACGTCTCTTTTAGGAGGAGTGTAGTTTAAAAGAAATAATTCGCCGTTTAATGGCAAAGACCTCGTGCAGGTGTTACTGACAGGGTTTTCAACATGAAAGAAACGTAACAGGCCCCTTTTGCACTGCCAAAGCCCTGTTATCACCCCGCAACTCCTTTCTACTTCTGAGGGAGTACGAAGGAGCTCTAGAGTAAACAAGAGCCTTGGGCTGCCTTTCATCTGGGGGCTGGCAGTGACACAGAGCCCCGCTGCCAGCCCGGGGGTCAGGGGGGTGTTAGCTGGGGCTGCGTTTCACAAGCACTGTTCTGTCTGTAGAGTGACAGGCTTTTAAATGGTCCACGTCGGTCGGTTTTCCTGCTGAAATCACAGAGGGTTAAGCACATAACTACACAGGATACAAAAATGTTTTAAAATATTTGGGTTTGAGTTATTAGGTCTATACCCCATGCAGTCATTCCTATCAAGTATTTCGATATTCCATTCTTATAACGCGTCCGTCCCCTTTTCCTCTCAAATGTAGTTATGGTGTACTTAGGCTAGTGCTTACAGTCACGTTCCACCTGTATTTTATTTATACCCAAAACGTAAACATAATGAAACTGGGGAGAACGGGATTTACAGCAGGCAGGCCAATGCATTGTGTGGTAGCATCAAGGCGGCGGTACAGCTGTGCAGAGATAGCCACCTTGAGGATCGGCAGGGCATAGCCTGGCCTTGCTGCCACCCCTCTGCAAAACGGAGGATGTCATGCAGAAATCTTAGTATCTTGTCCCTAATATTTATTCCTTAAATATTACACATGACTTTAAAATGCAATTTTACTGCCCGCTGACTCTCCAGGTTCTGTGGACCTACAGGGAGCAGCCTCTGCTTTAGCTAATGGTGAACTGCACCGTACTAATTACATAGAAACCTGTTAGAGGGGGGTTAAAGATGCTAAGAGACTAGGAAACTGTTTGGTTTTATGTCAACTTTATTCTAAGCACCTTACATACATGGTTGTATGCTACTTTTTTCGAAGATGCTTCTTTGTAGGGAGTCCATTTCTAGCAGTAGCAAATTCCAGAGGTGTTTTTGAAATGCCATTTGGGGCGTCAGTTTAGAAAACTACGTGATTTAAAAACCAATCTTCTCTAGAAGTAAACGTTGTCTTCTGGAAATGCCGAATGTGTGAATAGAGCCCTTGAACATCACCCTGTGCTGAGCAGCTCTTCTCCTCTGGCAGAGTTCTGTTCCCTTCCCTTATTTAATGAGTTCTCTCTCTCTAACCCCCCGACGCTGGGTGATGAAGGGGAACACCATCCAGGGCAGGGCCGCGCCCAAACCGGGTCCGTTAAACGGCAGCTTCACCCGGCTCCGTTAACTCAGCTGTTCCCTTGTGCCACTCGCGCTCCTGCAGAAAGTATTCCCGAACAGGGCACCGAAGCCACACCAGGTCTGACCCCCACCACCGGTCCTGCAGCCGCCGGGACCTGCCCCGGGGTCCCTGCGCATCCTGTACCGGGGGCACAGCGCGTCTCCCCAGCGCGCCGGGGCGCTGAAGGTGTTTCAGCAGCCCGGGTTTCACTGCCGCCGGGCTCCCGGCCGCCCGGGGGCTCACAGCACCCCGCCGGGCCGCGGCCCCCGAGCCTCGGCCGCGCTGCGGGCCCCGGGGCCGGTCACCGTCCTGGCGGGGCCGCTCCTG